TAGAGTAGTGCGCGATGCACTCTGGGCTGATGAAATGTAATGGTCGCTCTGTACACTCGCGGTGTAGCTTTTGATACTTGTTGATGCTATATTGCTTTCATCTGAAGAAAATTTTTAATGAATACGTCACAGATCTTCCCCATCCAATGGAGCTGGGGCACTCTTCAAGAGAAGAGATACAGGACAGTGAAAGTGAAGATGAAAAATCTTGAGAAGGGTCAGGTTTATATTCTGAAATTGTCGATCGTCGATCGTCGATCGGATACTTCATGGGGAAGATCTGTGATGTAGCTACTGGTATACACAATTTTAATTTAAAAGCATTGGAAAGAACAAGAGGTTGTATAGTGACGTAAGAAGGTGGTGTTGTAGAAGATTTGTCTCGCATTCAAAACAGAAAACCTACCACATCCCACATATTTATGAGTACCTTGTTGCAGAAGAGAAAGTTGATCCAAGAATATATTGTCAAGTTGACAATCAACTAATAACACTAATATTTAAACTCTTTTAAAATTTGTAATCATTTAGATATGTGGTTTAGAGATTGTAGGTGATTGCTTTTATTAATAAAGGTTTTTACTATAATTAAATGGTTACAAGTGATAACATCAGCAATAATAACAATGATAGCAATAGTAATATAATAATAATAATAATACTGAATAATAATAATAATAATAATAATAATAATAACGCGACTACATAACGCGACTACAAGTCAAGAGCGCAGCTAGCCAGTGTTGGTATGCGGATGACGCAATCGGGTGTGGTTCCCTAGGGGATGTGAAAACATGGTGGGACGAGCTTATGGTCAGCGGGCCTCCACTGGGATATATTCCAAACCCCCAGAAATGCTGGCTTATTGTGAAACCTGAAAAAGAGCGACCTGCCAAGGAGATCTTTAGCGAGACAAATATTAACATCACAACTGAGGGTCGCAGGCATTTAGGAGCGGCTCTTGGCTCTAGAGCTTTTTTTTAAGAATATGTTGACGAAAAAATTGAGGAATGGGTTACACAAGTAACCATACTGGCAGAATTCGCTACAACACAACCTCAATCTAGTTATGCAGCCTTTGTGTTTGGACTAAGGCACCGTTGGACATATCTCTTAAGAACTCTGCCAGGCTTAACCCCTTTTCTCGAACCGCTAGAGCGTGCCATAGCGGATTTGCTTGTGCCGGCTATCACCGAGCATGCTACCACACAGGAAGAACGGGATCTTTTAGAACTCCCAGTTCGCTTAGGCGT